CTCTGAGGGTCCTAGTGTTTGGTCCCCAAAATGCTCTGTCTGGTTTGGACGCACCGGCAGCGGCAGTGGGTGTCCACCTTGTTGCTGATCCAGCTGCTGAAACTCCAGTGAGTCACAGGTTTCATCAAATAAAGGAGTGGCTGGGCCCTCCCTGGGAACTCTTCCCGCCTTTTGCTTTCTTTGAAACCCTGCCCCAGTAAACCCGCTCCCTTCCCCCTCTGCCCCTCCGCGTGTTCCCTGCCGGTGGCGAGCCTCTGACCCACTTCAGGTCGTTAAGTCACATCTTGAGAGGCTCCCCTGAGCCCACAGCATAACGAGTGTGTGTCCCTCCCCCTGTCGCGTCACCTGCCCTTTGCTTTCACAGACACATAACTTGCAGCTGTTCCTGGGCCAGCTCAGGGGGTCATACCATTAGATAGGGAGCTCTCCAAGGGCAGGTGTGGGGCTGCACCTCCAGGGCCTGTCACCTGTCGACACCCAGGAGACGAGTGCTGGGTGGACGGGCGGGCGGATGGACGATGCATGAACAGCACCTTTTTCTTTTTCCCAGGTGGCTTCTGGCACAGCAGCTTAATTGACCGAAATCTCATTGATTATTTTGTACCCTTCCTTCCCCTGGAATATAAACACCTAAAAATGTGCATCAGAGTTGAAATGCAGTCCCGAGGCTACGAAGTTGATGAGGACATTGTAACCAGAGTGGCTGAGGAGATGACATTTTTCCCCAAAGAAGAGAGAGTCTTCTCTGACAAAGGCTGCAAAACGGTGTTCACCAAGTTGGATTATTACTACGATGACTGACGGCGCAAGTCATTGCCTCGCGTTGGACCAGAACGAACTCAGCACTCAGATCTCCCCCCATACCTGCCCCCACTGCGTCCTCTGAAGGAAGAGTAAGATGAATTTTTCCTGTATGACATGTCAGACATTTCCCTGGGCATGTGTCATTCAGTGGAGCCTGCAAGCTGTCACCTCACAGATGGTGTCCTTGGAACAAGCCCTGGAGCCTTCAGAGAAGGAAGTAGCCGCTCCCAGCCCACTTGTGACAGGGGCCCATGATTTTTTAAAATCATGTTTTAATTTCACGTATTTTCTGTTTCAAGGAAGGACAAATTAGTTTTACTGAAAATGTGATAACTTTATTTAAAATGGTTTTTAACATGATGAGAACCTTTTCAGACTCTTAAGTTGTTGTCTTTGTGTGTTTTTTAAAGTTCTCCTCATAATAACATACACTGTGATGTCTTTACTGCAAAAAAAGCCCAAGCTAAGTCCTTGGCATGTATTCATTCCATAGGATGGCCTAACTGGGGACCAAGGCTGGAGCAGTGACCTGACCTGTCACAGGAGGACCATCACAAGGGGCAGTGAAGTGTTTAGATAACAGAACAAGTACGTAAGAGGACACGCTCAGGCACGTCACAGAGAGGCCTTCAATGTCCTTACTGAGGGTTTAACTCTCAATAATGTTGTGAACATTTGTTAGAAACAGATTTTCCTTGAAAGGAAAGTATTTCTAGCTTGTCACTTGCCAGTCATTCAGCTGTGCCAAGGAAGGCCCTCTTCTCCCTTCCATTCTTGGAGTAGTCACGTGCTATCTGGCATGTTCTGCTATATTGTTTTTAAAACCTTACTCACTTATTACTAGTTTTTGTTATGTGTAGTCAGAACTCCCAACACCTCCTAGGAAAACTTAGCTGCCCCCCAGGATGCTGAGAACAGTGTTTTTATTTATAAATGCAAATAGCTACCATTTTACAATAAAACTGTGTAACTTGTGAATACACATTTGAAGGAGGAAAAACCCGTCCCCTGTAGGCCTTATGTGCTTAAGCTATTCATGAAGACCTAGCAGGAGCAGACCAGGTTGGGGTGACGTGAAGCCTGATGCAGGAACTCTGAGGATCCTGGGACAACTGGCTCCTCGCTCAGCTGCACAGGGCATTGCACACCTAGGTGGGGGTTCATGGAGCTCCTGACACCCAGCCGTGTTCAAATCCAGCCGTGGAGTTCAAATGCCAGCTGAGATGCCAGGCAGTACTAGGGAGCTCTGTAGGAAATGAAACATACATGACACCTAACAAAAGCGGGGCTCCTGGGGAAGAGTGCCTAAGCAGTGTGCACAGGAACCATTTTTAGCAGGCAGATGGGTTGGTAGCCTGGCCGCCAGGCTGACAGAATCCCTTTGCCTCACGGGCAGAGGCTCAGACTGGGAAGTTCTTGATGCTCAGCTGAAGCTACCCTGTTGTCCCCAGGAGTCAGATTAGGGCCAGTCATTTGAAAGTGGCAGCCCCAGCACCTGGGAGTCCCCTGACTTAATTTGGACAGTTCAGTCTTGTAGATGAGGCAGTACAGGGTGGAGAAGAGGATGTGTTTGGCTGGGAACCAGACCAAGAAAGTCCATCCCCTGGGACCTGAGCACCTTCAACTGAGAAATGAAGGGAGTGGGTGGGATGATGGCGGAGAGGGTTTGAACTTTCTAGGAAGTCAGCCAGCTCATCCTCAGTCCTGGGAACAGGGTTGGTGTTAACAATTCACTGACAGAGATAAGAGGCCAGGTTAAGTGTGATGAGCTGAGATCTGGTTAACTAGGATTTCATTCCCAGGCCTGGAGGGAAGACCTGGCAGTTAGGTTTCCTGGTCTGAGCCTGGCCTTGCTCAGGTTCAGAATGTCAGCAGTCACGTTTCCCATGCTTCAGTGTCCTTCCTGCATTAATTTTAGAATACATTTGTTAGAAGTCCGGCTCTTTCTGATACTGTTTCCATCCATGAAAATAAGATGGGAGTGGAGCCCATCATCTAATCCAACTTAACTTTGTATTTGGGGATAACAGCCTGTTAGGTAAATATTGACTCTTGTGTGATGCCAAGACCGTCAACCAGGATGTTCAAGGTACAGTGAGCCCAATGACACCTGTGTTGTTGAAGAGCCTTTATTCCAAGTTCAAGCTTTTCAGAGTTACCAAACGTATAAACTCAGGGGAAAGTTGCAAATGACATCTCACGTGATAAAATTCAAGCGTTATTACTTTATATTCAGTAGGTCAACTCAAGCTCCTGTCTACATCTTACGTGGGGTGGAGGAGGCTGGGCCGTGGCTTTTTCAAGTTACAAATCAATAATGGGTCCAAAGGTGGCCAACACGTGTTGAATTTATTGCATCACTGTAAACAAAATCTTGTCTCCCCCGACCAGACCCCCAAAAGGTTATAAAAGAAATGTAACTTAGCTCCCATTTGAGCATTGATGCTAGAAATTTTAAGCCTCATCTTGGCATTTTTAAAAGACAGTGTGATCCTCTATACGGCCTTCCCATGTCATGAAAATATTCACTCTCACATCTATCTAAAAATTCTGCCCGTTGCTCTCATTACATGTGCACGTGCAACGACAAGATAGACACAGATGGTTCACACTAACTCAGATTCACAGAATCTAAGTGATTTCCCAATGACAGGGCAGTCCAGCCTGGTGCTGCCACAGAGGGTGTGTGTCATTAGATGACACCCAGGACCAGCCACAACGTCAGACCTTGATTCATCTACGATTGTTACCATATATTACCACGCATTTAACAATAAAAATTAATCTCATTTAAGAGTTTCTGATAAAAGAACAGGCAATTATTTCATTTTGTGTCCTTCCCATGTTTTAAAATATTTCTATTCTCTAAGATTCAGAAATAAAAACATTATAAAAAATATACATATCCTTGAAAACTAGCATTCCTATTGTATGATACTTCCACTTCTTTTGGCAGTACAACCTGCAAGCCGAACACTCGATCTGGGCACGTGGCATCCACGGAGATGAACGTGTCCTACACATTTCAAATGGTTCTGTGGAGTAAAGTGAGAGACTGACCCACATATAAACGGTAACAAACATTTCGCCATGAGGGCCAAATTCAAATTCAAAACCGACAGCCTCATTCTGATTCAACTCTAGCTGTGACGTGTTTGGGGGAAATCTAGCAGTGACTGACCCTCAGGAGTAGAAGTAGAAGGAACACTGGGAGCGATACCAACTGAGAGGGGAGCGAAGGAACTCCACGAGCAGCCGGAGCAATGGCCAGACGGAGAGGTCCTGTCTGTCCTGGACTGCTGTAGAGGCCAAGGATGGAGCCCTCACCCCACACGCAGCCCCTGCTCACGTGCAGGCCCACGTCCTCTTACCAGACACTGTCTATGCCTGAAGGTGCCACCAGTTTTACCTGGAGAGACTTCAAGTCAGGGAACATACTCTGTGTAAAGAAAAAGGACTAGAGCAGAATGTTTTCGGCAGGTAAAAACCTAGTGCTCCCAGGGCACCTGGGTGGCTCCTCAGCTGATTAGAGCACATGCCCTGAACAACAAGGTTGCCGGTTCGATTCCCACATGGGCCAGTGAGCTGTGCCCTCGCAACTAGATTGAAACAGCGACTTGACTTGGAGCTGATGAGTCCTGGAAAAGCACACTGTTGTCCAATAAAATTAAAAAAAAAAATTACCACTCAATCAAAAATAACTTTTAAAAACAAACAAAACAAAACAAAAAACCCTAGTGCTCCCAGACTGCAGCTGGCCCCTGAACTTCAGTTACAATAGCAGCTTCTGGGTGGGTGCCGTGGGGTCAAAAACAGTCTTAGGGGCCGGCCGAGTGGCTCAGCTGGTTAAGAGCTTGCTTGGGAGCCCCAGCTCTGAGCAGCAGGGCCTCGGTTCAGATCCCACATTGAGGGCCAGTGACACTGCCCGCTACAGCTAAGATGGTGAACAACAGCTCAACCTGGAGCTGGGCTGCTGGTGACGGCGTAGGCTGCAGTGGGGCTGCAGTGGACTGCCGTGAGCTACGTGAGTGGCTGGCAGCCAGTGTGAGCTGCCGGGAGCCGCTGTGAGAGGCCACCAATGACAGGCGACCCATTGCCTCACCCGGGAAGAGCACAATGATCATACCAACATGGGCCAGTGAAGTGACGTCCTCCACAACTAGACTGAAGAACAAAAAATTTGTCTACCTGTCTGTCCCCCTTCCCCAATTCCCCAACACTGCTTTCTTCCTCCCAATTCCCCAGTAAAATCTTTGGGGGAAAAAAACAGTCTTAGGTCTCACTCACACAGCTATTCTCAAGGCACTTCTGTCAAAGTCAGTAAGCGTGGGCGGGCAGGGCAGGGCAGGGGGGCGCGCAGATTTTAAACGTTCATCTTCAACTGCAATTGACAGTTGCATTGCTATCATGTTGCAAAATGACAAGTGCACTTGACAGATTAGTGGCTTTTCAAAAGTCAACTCAGAAACTTCTATATGCCAAAAGTCCACAGGTGCAAATGTGCAAACTCCACGGACGTCTTCAATGCTTCCAAAAGGCAAGCTCCTGGCTTGGGTAAGAGGTCAGTGAAAATCCAGCCGCGACTGCACAGTCTTGCAGCCCTTGTCTGAGTAGATTTTCTCCTCTTTGGGGAAAAACGTCATTTCATCTGCCACTCTGGTGACAATGTCTTCATCTATGGTAGAACCGCGGGCCTTCATCTCTGCCCGCACGCAGTCCTTCACATGTGTGTACTCCAGGGGCAGGAAGGGGATAAAGTAATCGATGAGGTTTTTGTCTATCAGTCTGCTGTGCCACAGGCCACCTGCAGAACAAGACACTAGTGGGTTTCCTGCCCATCACTGTCACCGTCACCTGGCCAAGCTCACTGCTTACAGGGCCGTTTTGATTCCGACCCACAGAACACTCTTTAGCCCCTGAGGTTCTCGTTTTGTCAAGCGTGCAACAAGCCTGATGTGAAGGATCGGTTGGCTACCCCTGTTAATTGATTTCTAGAATATGTCGATGTAAGAAACATCCTAACCTGTGGGGAATTTTTATAAAAATTTACTTGAGCCAAACAGAATGCTCCTAGAAGCAAGATCTCAACAGAATGAGAAAAAGGCTTCCAAGAATGACAGTTTTGCAGTTTCTTTTATGCATTTGGAATGTAAAGAAGGTTAAATGGAGGTGGGAGACAGCAAGGTGGGGATTGGATTACAGGCTATTAACAAGATTATGTGCTTCCCCTGAGGGTGGTTATGCCTCTGAGGGGGGGTCTGAAAAGAGGCATTTCAAAGGTATGTTAACCTAGATGCCCAGAAACAACAGGCAGGGCTGGCTTGAGGCAAAGATAAGCCTTTTACTAAAAAAGTTATGGTGAACACTCATCAGGACCTGCCCAGTTAGGAATTTATGATCAGATCACCCTGTGAGGTCACTTTCTCTAAACCCCTAAGAAATGCCCTAAAGAAAATTCCCTACTTCAGCAAAGCCAAGGAAGCGCGGGGATTCAGTGGCTTTGTGAAAGGCCTACAGTAAGACAACGGCTCTGCTGGCAGGGGCTCCTCACCCTGGGAGACTCACTGTGTTTATTATTGAAGACTCCGACAGACAGCACCTGTTCCAGGTCCTTCAGCTGAATCTCTTCCCTCTTCCTTCCTGCCAGCCAAAAGTCGAGGGCCACCTTGGTTATGAGGTCCCCACCTGCGTTGCTGAGTTTGCCCAAGACACAAAGAGTAAAATCACATATTAAGACTGGGCCGGCTGAGTGGCTCAGTTGGTTAAGAGCGTGAGCTCTGAGCAACAGGGTCGCCGGTTCAATCCCCACATGGGCCAGTGAGCTGCACCTGAGCTGAGCTGCCACTGAGCTGCCAACAGGTGGCAGGATGGCTCAGCTGGTGAGAGCACGTGCTCCTAACAACAAGGTTGACGGTTCGACTCCCACATGGGATGGTGGGCTACGTCCACCCGCAACTAAGATTGAACACAGCTCCTTGGGCTGAGCAGCCGCGAGCTGCTAACCGGCGGCCAGATGGCGACTGAACTTGGAGCTGAGCTAGCTGTGCCCTCCACAACTAAGACTGAAGGACAACAACTTGGCTGTTCCCCTTCCCCAATTCCCCAATAAAAATCTTAAAAAAAAAAAAAAAGACTTCTGTGTCCAATCAGGAAATGTACCTGCTCTAAGGCTTATTCGTAACCAAGGAATATTTACGAAGTGCTACTAGGCAAAGAAAAAAAGAGTGTCTGCCCTCAAGGAGCTTGAAAATCTTCTTTTTCAGAACCTGCCATGTAGCACTATGACTTTTTATAACCCTCAAAAACAACATGCGCAAGTAATGAAATTGCCTGTTATCAGCAATTATTTCTGTTCTTTTTTATTATTATTAGTTTCAGGTGTACAAAACAATGCAATAGTTATACTTTCCACCCCTCACAAAGTGACAACCCCCTTCCCCCAATCCATCCCCCGCAACAATTATTTCTTTAATTCATTTTCTCCTGCCCCCCTCCCCTCTGTGCCATGCTGACACTAGCAACCCAAAAGTAAAAGAAATCGGGAAGTTGCTTTCGCTAGGCTAGCGCTTTGTCCCTGGGAAACAGAATGCTGGCCACCAGGACCTCATTCTAGCTCGGGGTGAATGAAGGGCGAGTATGTCCCCAGGAAGCCACTTCCCACTAACCTGAGAAAGATGAAGATCGCCTTCCGGTAAGACACACCATCAATCTGCTCGTAGTAGTCTAGAAACGGCTTGATTGCATCGATGACCCCGGGGTGCAATTTATCCATCTCGTCAAATATGAATATGGAGCTTGCACAGGCGCTCACATTACCCTGAATCCACTTCTGTAACTGGTCCTAGACCAACCATAAAAGAAGAAGTAGGATGCAGAGGCTCAAAGGATGTGCCAAGGGGAGCAAAAGCGCCACCTGTTTGTTCCTTGTGCTCTGGACCACTAAACATCAGAGCTCTCGGGGTCTAACTCTTAGAAACTGCTCCCTAACCTCCATTCACTGGCTAACAGCTTTTCCAAAACTTGATCTATAAAAAGTGGAAACCAGCAGAGAGATAGGTGCTACAATGCAATGCTTTTTCCTAATGCAAATGACATGCTAAATGTGACTTTTTAAAGGAATAAGAGATAGAAGATCGATGAATAATTACCATTTCACTGTTAACCAACCCATACTTTTTGTCTCACTGTGGACTGAAACCTCAGTTTTACCAGACATACTGAGGAATGAGAAAGTAGACGAAGACATGTGCAGTGCCCAAGGCAAATGCCTTTTTCTGGTGCCATGCACAAAGGAGCTGACCTAAATGACATTTCACAAAAAGCATTTTCCCGTGATACCTTGAAACAAACAAAAAGACACCCAAGCAACAAGCCCTCAACCCCAAAACGTGAAAGGCTCCAGAGGCTATATTACTATATTTCTAGAGATTTATGAAAAACTTGGAAACCAAGAAAATAATTTATTTAGAGTACTCTTCTCTGTCTTTGTTTGGCAAATATCCACTTTCATTTCCTTGTTCCATTCGGTTTCTGTTTCTTATTTCAGCCCCACCTACCAGGAGGAATATTATTAACCTTTACAAAGATGACATTCATTCAAATGAGAACCCTACTAAACAACTTAATATAAATTAAATGTGGAAAGAATATCTCAAAAAGAGAAATGGCCTTAAGGTTCAGTTGTTTGAGGCTATCATTTGAAGAAAGAACGCAATGCCAAGGATTTGAAGGATGGGAGAAAGCACAGGGAATGCAATCTACAGAGAAAATTCTCTCGCCTGCATTGCTAACTGCAGAGGCAAAGTTGACGGTGCGTCAGGGCGGGGCCTTCAACGAAGCCGTGTGCAGACACATCGTTGAAGGCTGTTCGACTTAACCAAGGGCCGTGATGGGAACATCGAACGTGCTCATTCTTGGCAGAAGGTGGCTACCCTGCGACCTGGAAATTAGGAGACTGGGGTTCAAGTTTCTGATTGGCCACCAGGTCCCAAAGATTGTAAAGAGCAAGTCTCCCTTGGCTCCATCTTTTAATGGGGATAACATCCTCTACGCCACTGTATTATATTATTTTGGAATCAAGTGAGGAAAAAGTTGCAAATGGCAAAGGGTTACGGGGTAAGTGTGCCTTAACTCGGCGGGGCTGGGGCCACAGCAGTGCAAAGAAAAGAAGCAGAGGCGAGAGTCAGTAAAAAGGTCTCCTCCCAGACTAGTTAGAGTGGAGTAGCAGGGTAGGCGGGGTAACAGGGTTCCCTTGCCTGGTACAGTTTTATCTGCTGCTCGTGAGGGAAGTGCAGAGTCGAAACAAACAGGTGGACAAAGTTACTCTTCAGGCCTCTGGAGTGAAGATTTTCGGCCACAATTTGGCTCACAAAATTCTTGCCTGTGCCAGCCCAGCCATGTAAGGAAAGAGTCAGTGGTTTCTTGGGATTTTTGTTGTTCCTGAAGCCAGTCAGCGCCTTGAGAATCACCTCTGTGGCCAGATGCTGCCCAAACAGCTTCTCCTCCAATTCCAGCTTGAGGGCTGCAGGAGCCAGCCCGAGAACAGAGAGAAAAATACACATTAAACATGCACCAGAAAAGCAGCACTTTCCCCAGCTGGCCATAGAGGCACAGAGTTGACCGTGGTCCAGCGGGGTCTCTGCCTAAGCCCAGGGCTGGCACTGAGGTGAAACCACGGGCTGCAGAGTCACACGACGCCACTTCCAAGGGAATGCACTAGATGGATGTCCTCCTCAACGCTCAAGTGTCTGACAAGCACACTAAACGTGTCCGTTCATCCCGGGATTAGCCCTCTCGTGACTGAGCTGCATGCTATTTCCCCGGCCACCCCTGCTGGCTTGCAAAGACCGAGGGCCAAAGGTGGGCGTTCTGGGCAGACGCTGCACACCTGAAAACTACTTAAAAGGGTCGACATGCGCAGAAGGACTGGCCACACTGCTTTCAGTTTCTTCTTACTGTAATCCCAAGGAGTCCGAACACTTAGAAAGCAATGTGGGCAGAGCCCCACGATCTGGAGAATCGTCTCGGAAGGTACGGCTTCCAGGCCTGGAGTCCGGACCGAGGTCCCATCCGTCCTGTCTCCCCCCACCCCACCTCTGGTGAGCGCCATGAGCCGGGCGCCTGACCCTCGTGCCCCTCCAGGCCGACCCGCCGCCGTACCCGACGCGTTGAGCGGCTGCTCCTTGGGGCAGCACTCGGCGAAGCGACAGTACACGTCCTTGGACAGGTAGCCGGTGAGGGCCGACGCGGCCCCGATGGCGATGGCCGTGCTGATGGGCTCGAGCGCCGCCACAGCCTGGGCCGCCAGCAGCAGCCCCAGCGCCGCGCCGCCCGCGAGCCGCCCCGCCAGTGGCATCACCCCGCTCGCTGCCCGCCACTGCCTGCGCTCGGGGGACCGGGACAACGAGTGGCAGGCCGGACTTCCGGCTTGCTTCACTTCCGCCCGCAGACCCGCCCACCCCTCGGAGGTCGGGTTGGGGAGGGGCGTGTCGGGGGCGTGGCCGTGCGCCGCCCCGCCCAGCTTCTCGGTTTTGTTGCCTGACGAGCTTCTCCGAGCCCAAGCTTTGCTTTCTCACACTCCCCCCACCCCGCACGCCCACTTACCCTCGGGGGCGGGGCTTGGTGGGAGGAGGCTTTGCTGATACCCTGGCGTCAGAGCAGGGGTGGCTGAGGGCTGGCCCTTCTGCAGAGCAAGAGACGAGCAGACGGAGAAAGGGGGGCAGGTCGATTTCAGGAAGGCGGGCAGCGGACCCGGACCTCGAGTCCTTCACGTGACTCATGCCGTGCGCGCCTTGGCAAGCCTGTGGCGCGCAGGGGTACGCTTCCTGCGGTGCGAGGCTCTGCCCTCCTCTCGCCCGTTGATGTCACGTGACGGGGGCTGTGTTTGGTCCAGGTTTGCGTGAATCGGCCCCTCAATTCGGCCTGCCCTCCTTGATCGGAGAACCTTCAAGATCTGTAGCTCGCACATGCCCCTGCATGGCCTGGTTACGTAAAATAGCGAGCTCCGCGGTTCCTCCTGGAGGTAACTCCTCTGTCCCACTCAGATCCTGCATTTCATCCTCCACCGGCTGTGCTGAGGCTGGATGGAGGATGCGGCTGGGGGACGCACAGCTTGGGGAAGGCACTTCTGAGGGTCCGGAGTTCCCGCCCTGACGCGTCACCCCGGTGCCCCGACATCCATCCAGTCGTCCGCGTGCCGCTTTTTCTCTAGCAAGGACCTGGCAGCGTGGAATCAGACCACGATGCAGTTCAGCATCCATAGGGTCCATCTCTGAGTTTACTTTTTAGAGACCTGGGCCCTTTGGACGCCGTAGGAGATTTTCCCAGACAATTCTTCACAGAAAGTCCTTAGGAGTCTGTGAGGCAAGATGCTGAAACGTGCGCGTATCTTGTTAAGACAGGGGGATTGTAATGGGGGCGCTGTCGCGTTCCTGCACGACAGGGGCTGGGGAGGGCGAGGAGGGGCGGCGAAGGGTTAAGAAAGACAAGAACCAAGTATTGAGCGTAGCGGGCCAGGGGTCTCAAGCCTCTGTGGACTGAGCCCTGAATCAGGCTGGCGCAAAGCTTTTATTCTCCGCTGCCACTAAGAAGTAAATGTGGGTATCCCATCCCATTTGGTTGATTCGATGTGTCTGGCAACTGCTTCATCGAAACTCGTGTTCAAACACAAGTTGTGTTTTCACACATACGTATGATCCCTATGGACGGACTCAGCATTCCGAGACCATCAGATAAGGAAGCTTTCCCCAGATTATTCCCTGGGGTCTCAGCGTTCCGAGACACTCCCTCATAACTTCAAAGGATCAGTGCGCGGGAGCATTCAAGTCGGCAGCTGCACGGTGACTGTGGCACTATATAGCTTATATTTTGAGATTTGGATCTCTGGCATAATTTGATTTAACAAGTGTAATTTTGCTTGGGACTTTTTGAAAGCGTTCTTTTCTGTCTTTGCCTCTTAATGATTCTGCTTCCTATACATTTACTATGCATACTAGTTTCAAAGTTTCTATTCACTTCGGCCCAGCGCTGGCCCTGTGACTTGGCAGAGGTTTTGCATCTGTATGGGATCCACTCCTGGCTCCAACTTAAATCTACAGAACAGATGCAAAGGTTGTGGAAACCAGCTTCATCGCATCTTTTTCCACCCCCAACTAAGACAGGTTAATTAGTATATCAGGCAGTCAGGAATTCCCTGGCAGACTGAACAAAGATAAGGAAAAAACTGGTTATTCCTTAAACTAGCCATTCCTTTCACATACTGGAACAGAGACATCAATCATGCCCCAGAGCAATAAAGCCATTTTGGAGGACTTTACGAAAAGGCCTCCCCAAAGGCTGAGCAACAGAACAGGTCCGATGGACGCCTTGATAACAGGCACCGGTATTTCAGCATTCCCCCTGCCAGGCAGAAAGAAAGTATAAAACTCAAGCCTTTTACCTTAGCTAGTGGGCGTCCCATTTTCCGGGTACCCCCTCCTGCTCAGGAGCTGTAACCTTTCTCTTGCTTTAATAAAACTGTCATCTGCTACAAACTCGACCTCTCTGGTCCGTGTCTCCATTCTTAGGCTTCACGAGACTACGATCCCGGCACAAGAAATATCCTACATCATTTGGGGGCTCACCCGGGACCGAAAGAGGTAAATAGGACCTGTGCTCTTCTGTTTGCTTTGCCCACTCGCGGGCCTTCAACAATATTTTCCTGTCACACAAACATTGGGCTTCCGACAGCCAGGTAAAAACGATAGCATGGCTGCCAATCTTAAGACTCGGGAGGACAGGCTTAGCAGAAGGGCTCTGCTTAATCCCCTCCAATACCAAGTTGTGTTGCCTTACAGCCGATTCTTAGACCACCCCCTCTGCATTAGCCTCTGACCCATTAGTCGAGAGAGTGTCTCGGAAAACTGAGGCCGGATGGAATGATATCTGTAATGATATCTGTAAAGCTCTCTCGGGGGCGTCTCAGCCTGACTGGGACCTGATGGAATGATATCAGCTGTCTCCCCTGGGAGGACATGTAATTATGTCTTGGGGCAATGTGGTGGAGTATGAAGGCATAGCATTTGCTGGAGTACATTGGGAAAAGGTCATTGGAAAAGGCCTTAAGGCGCACCAGTATACACGGTTAATGACTCACAGCACAGCAGTTTTCTTCCTTGAAAATAATCAATAAAAACCATGCGTCGACCCGATTCGGTGGCTCAGTCTATCTCTGAAGGCTGAGTCCCTTGGTCTCACTCTTAAATCTTACTTCTGTCTCTTGTTCTTATTCAATCTGCATCGCCCCTCTCGTGTCCCATTTGCCCTTGCCACGCTGGACGTGACAAAGTCGGAGGAATGTTGGCCTTAGCCCAAATGCCTTCTCTCTTAGGGAAAAGTGGGGAGCCCAAGGACGGTGCGAGGTTGGGGTGAATGACTCTTGGACACATCTGCGGAACTCTGGTCACGGCGACTCTGTGATGTGTCCCAAAGGCTCCCTGGGTCTTCCTCTGACTCCACTGCCCGCATGGGTGCCAGCCGATGGCTCTCCCTCTCCCTCCTCTCTCTGCTACTCTGCTGCCTCTTCCTTTCCTTGAGAAGGCTGGATACTGGCACATGGCTAGGTTGCGGTCGTTTGCAGGCAACTGAGGGACGCTTGGCCATGGCCACTCTGCGGCAGAGTCCCAAAGGCTTCACTGGTCCCTTCTCAGCCTGGCCACCCTTACTGCTTTATTTCATCCTGACACTATATCCCCTCAGCCTCTGAGACACTGGTCGAGGGTCCCTTCCCTGTAAGACCTCCGCAGCACACACTCCCCGCCTGCTTCAAGACATCTTAAGGTAAGAACATGGAAGTTTGTCTCTACAGAACATCCCTTGTCGCTCAGGATAAGATTTGCTGGCATTTGGCCTACCCTCTCTTAGCATCTTATTGGGATCTCTTTTTAGTGTTAAAGCACAAATGGAGATGTCCTGAATCTCCCACTTTACATCTCTACTGCTTTTGTGTCCTTCCGACCTGTTGTACATTTTTCAGTAATCGCTTAGCGACCCACGTCCATGAGGGGCTCCACCCTTGGGGTCCCGAATATCTAGCCACTTTCCTTTTATACCTGTGTTATTGCATATCGTCAGGCAAGAAACTGGGGGAGAGACCACATTTTCCAGACTCCCTTTACTTTAAGGAGGAAACTTGATCCGAAGCCTTTGAAGGCTTCCAATAGCTCTACCTGGCCTCCCTTACATGTTGGACATCATGGCCTCCCTCCACGTCCTTTCGCCTTCCTTAAAGACTTTGAGCATATACTCCCTCCTTAATCATCTTTATGCGGAGTACCACCATTACATCGACTGCACCACCAATTTCAAAGACACTCAGAGTCGGGCCATACACCCCTCTACTTTAAAATGCCCCATTATCGGTTGGCCCACAGGCTGGAGTCAGAAATCCAGGCGGGGACACACACAGAGTTAGACAGGCGCCCACCTGGGGGCATGGGCTGGCAGCCCAGGTAAGGCACGACTAAACCCTGGCACGCCATGTCCCCCCACCCGCCACAGAACTGAGTCATGCGGTCTCCCTGGCCCACTCAGAGTCTGGAGGACACTCCAGACAGGTTGTTGGGAGGCGAGTTATCAGCCCTCATGTGCCTTCACCCTCCTGAATTGCATCCTGACAGATTTAACCCTTAGACTCTGAAAAAAGCGGTGCCTGGCCTTCTTTTGTTCCGAGGTTTTAACCTCAATACAAGTTAAAAGATGGGAAAAACCTGGCCTCGGGAGGGAAGTATTAACTATAATACTATCATATAGCTAGATTTGTTTTTCAGATAGGAAGACAAATAGAAGTTCCCTATGTTCAGGCTTTTTTTTTCACCCTGCGGGACAACTCAGACCTTTACAAAGAAAAAAAAATTGTCAAATTGATTCAGCCCTTTGGGCTGTAATCTCTCATCTCCCTTCTCTAAAGAAAACACCTACAGAAACACCAAGCTAATGGAGAGCTCTGTATCTGTACCTTCTGAGAGTCCCCTTTGTGTATTAACAAACTGGCCAACTTAAAATTGTTTTGTGCACCTCTATATTCAGAAAATTGGTGCAAGTAAATCTTAAAAGGTTTTTCTAGCTCTCAGTAACTTTCAAGATTTTACAGATAGCCTGAAATGTAAACAAAAAGGGCTGCTGCAGACGCTGCTTGAGGCTAAGGTAACTAAAGGGAAAAAAAAAAGGACACTGTTAAACCCAGGGGACAAGCTTCCCCCCACTCCTTGTTACAGCCTCTTTGCAGTTACAGAGACAATGGTAAGATCTTAGGATCCTTCTGCAATTGCTTGGTCAGTAAAAATTAAGGTTCAGAAGGTTATGGATGTTTTCAAGAAAGATATAAGGTATGGAAATACATTTTTGAAAGAACTGTAAGAAAATAGTTTGTCCTAAAGATGGT